TGGCCGGTTTTTCTTTCGACAGTGTCCCTCAAGCTATCTTTGAAGGCCACAGATTCATACGAGAGAGAAATCTCAGAGGCCATTTTAACGCCCACTGTGCCTTGTTGACCATGTTGCATCGCCATCGACCGACAATACAATCGCCAGACGCCACTATAGGGCGCTACCAACTATAGATGAAGCCTTTGTCGTTATTAGAGTCCGACCTTGCTGATTTTCTGCACCCATTACTTCTACAAGAGAACAAATGTTTGAAGCACGACTTGGCGCTATAAAAGCAGACACTCTAATGCTACATTTACAAGTCCGTTCGCAACAGAGGCTCCCAGGGGAAGGCCGACTTTGAGATATCAGAAGAACCGAAACGACACGGTTTTTGAAATCACCGTCCTTGTAAGAATAAGTGCGTTAGGAAAAAAATCAGCTCAAATTCATTCAGCCCTCACCACCCAATAGGCAAGCTTTTAGGGTGCATACGCCGCAGTTGAGCATTTCGAATGGACATGATCCTATTTTGTTTGGTGATCTCATTCGGCACATTTTTCACTTGCACAGCGTTCTTGTTTTCCTCTTTTTCTCTTGAAAGTAAGCCTAAGAGGCAAGGAAAGGCATTTTTGTTGAACAGGTGCACGCGGAACCGATCTACGATATGCCTCCGCGTGGTGAGAAGGCAATGAGTCCCGAGGAGGCGAAGCAGCTTCAGGTAAATTGATGTGGTAGTGCAGTAGCCGAGTGCGTCTTTTGATCATTTCGTGTGTCCATTTGGTTTAGTCAAATTGACACATACATACATGACCATACTCAAGTCAGTCCATAGACTGATTCGCCTCTAAGAGATAAGGGCTTAGCTCTGATTTGTCTTTTCTCTAGTTTTTTGTGTTGCAGTTTTATTCGTAAACCTGAATTGGCGATCCCGTTTGCTATGATTATCTGAGTAGTTTATTGGGAGCCACTTATCTCAATGCCTTTAGCAGATTAAATTCAAAGTTTTAGTACTACACAAATATCCTCTAATTGTAACCTTTTCTCAGATTTACCTTTATCTTTTTGGATTTTATAACAAAAGACTTGTGGAAATTGAACTCTGGATACTGCACTGAATTTTCTCAGAAAAGGCATACTAGCGTCTGTTACCGGTTCCACAGGACTGACCTGTGTTTTAGGGATGTGCTACAACACAAAATTTGGAGTCCTCTCTTACCTCACTTCAGGAACTTTACCAAGAATACGATTTTGGCATGGATGTGGGGCCAGAAGGTCCGATTCCACCACAATCGTTCCCGATCAACTCGAAATCCTCAGCACCTGCTTTCCAATCTGCTACAGATCAGGTACTTTATTAAGGATATAGAACTTCAAGGGTTGCGTCCTTCATCAAATGACTGGCTCCATACTGTTCATTCCTGTGCAGTTGAGGAGATGTTCTTCGACGCCCCAAACCGGCATTGCTCAGTGGCTTATGTTTCAAAATTTGTAACTTCTTTGAACGCAGAGCTAAATGGTTCTAAAAATTATTTTCCAACTCAGACGAGTAATAGACATGAAAGCATGAACACTCAGGTCGATAACTGATACCATGATTTAGGAAATACTGACCCCTCTCATGTAGCAGTGTTGATGAATGTGAAGCTCTGGTTAACCCGTTCGTCCTCCCTGCTCTCGGAGATGTTCGCTACTCAGCATGAGCATGAGCTTCTGCTTTGGCAGCTCCCGAACTAATGATCACCTGGATTGTTTAGAAAGGACTTTGCATATCTCTTTGTTGCATTATAGGTTCCGCGTTATGCTCCACCGCAGGTTCCACAGCCACCTCCTCGACAGGCCATGCGAGAAGTCCCACTTACTAAAGAACTTCATGATGATGGTGACAGAAACGTCCACAGAATACAGATTCAGCAACTACCAATACCACAAAAAGTAGGGTTTCAACATCTTAACGATTCTGTATCAGCTAAAGTCCTTTTTGCGTACAACTTTCTGTTCCGCTCTCTTTCTGCGCCAAGTGGAGGTCACAAATTGTGGAAGCTTTTCAAAAAAAGTTTTATCATGACTACGAATTTAAATTTTTTACTCTCAAAAACTTTTGAAGATGACCTCTAAAAAGATGGTTTTGTGAGCATTGGATCAGCTCTCTCGTTGCATTTTTATATGAATCCTCATTTTTAGGATGTTGATAGGATGGGGCGAATGTGAGCATCACTTTGAAAAATCAGCAAAATCTTCAAGAAAGCGTTTTCAATCGGAGACGCTCAAATATATGTGCCTAAATTCCCACGGTCGCACGCGCGCATGCGTCAGCTGTATCGTAGCAACTGCCTGATAATTCACCGCAACTAATAAAACCTTAAAATGACAGTGTGCTCCGACATGGCGAGGGCAACATACCGATAGAGCCCAAGATCTTTTGTTTAGGTGGTGTGCAGGTGAGTTCTGTTTCGACCACGCCTATTTCTACTCGTCTCCGCTCACTCGCTGAGGCTGATGCAAATGGCATTTTGTTAGAGATTAAGGCTTTTTGGGTAATTCAGGTTGCCATTGATCAGTAATATTCAGGTGGGGGGAGGGGGAGGGGAGTGGCGATTCCTGAATTGGCAAGAAAACAAACCAGAAGTTCCACTCATTTCGCGCTTCCGCCGCATAAGAATCGTTTCAGTGAATTCTATTCCATGACATGAAGGTGTGTGGTATAGCCTCAGCCAAGATGGTCCAGCACTTTATTCAGTCAACGTTTCGGCGTTACCGCCTT